GGGGAGACAGGAAAAAAGGAGGGGGAGAGGGGTTCACAAAAGCCATGGAGCAGCCATGAAGATGTATCTCCATGCAGACACGCAGGCTGCTCCTCCAGCTGCCGCACATCAACAAGCAGCACGTCAACATCTGACCCCTCTCAGTTTTCTCAGACCCGCCTTGACCTCCTTGTTGCGCAGCGTGTAGATGACCGGGTTCATCATGGGCGTCACCACATTGCCGAAGATGTGTACGGGGGTCACCAGCACTTCGCTCAGCTGGGGCTGAGTGTAGATCAGGGCGCAGGGCCCAAAGAACATAGTCACCACCGTCAGATGGGAGGCACAAGTGGAGGCCGCTTTGCTCCGCCCTTCGCCCGCGTTCATCTTGAGGATGCAGTAGGCGAAGTCATGGGCACCATCCCAATATTGGTAAAACACACGGTCTCCAAGATATACGTGTCCGCACAGGCCAGCTTGGCCACAGGGAAGATGTCACAGAAGAAATAGTCTATGACGTTGGACCCACAGTAGGGCAGCGTGAAGGTCAGGCTGGTGAGGATGGTGGCATGGAAGGAGTAGTCACCACCGTCAGATGGGAGGCACAAGTGGAGGCCGCTTTGCTCCGCCCCTCACCTGCGTTCATCTTGAGGACAGAGTAGGCGATCCTGACGTAGGAGGCGAGGATGAGGACAAAGCAAGTCATGGGCACCATCCCAATATTGGTAAAACACACGGTCTCCAAGATATACGTGTCCGCACAGGCCAGCTTGGCCACAGGGAAGATGTCACAGAAGAAATAGTCTATGACGTTGGACCCACAGTAGGGCAGCGTGAAGGTCAGGCTGGTGAGGATGGTGGCATGGAAGGAGCTGGTGATCCAGGTGCCAGCGGCCAGGAGGGCGCACACCCTGCGGTTCATGATGAGCAGGTAGCGCAGCGGGTGGCAGATGGCCACGTACCGGTCGTAGGCCATGACGGTGTAGAGCAGGCATTCGGTGCTGCCCAGAAAATGCCAGAAAAAGACCTGAGCCATGCACCCCCCCAGTGAGATAGTTTTACTGTTGGCCCAGAGGTTGGCCAGTAATTTCGGGATGCTGATGGAAGAGATGCCAATGTCCAAAATGGCGAGGTTGCAGAGGAAGAAGTACATGGGGGTGTGCAGGCGGGGGTCACCGAGGACGGCTGAGAAGATGAGCAGGTTGCCCAGCAGGGTGCAGAGGTAGAAGGCTAAGAAGGTGAAGAAGAGGATGGTCTGGAGGCCGTCGGTGTTGGGGATCCCTAGGAGGATGAAATGAGTCACCATCGTTTGGTTGGCCAGCCCCATTTGGGCCTCATTCCTGGGGTAGGGCAGAGAAATGAAGCCAGTGGGTTACTGAATCAGCCCGACACCCTACAGCTGCGATGTTCACCCTTCCCACCCTGCCCCCAGGACTCCCTTCCCTCGGGAGTAGGGAATATTTCTGTCACTGCAATGCCCACTATGGTCAGAGAATCAACGGCTGGTGTACAGAGAAACTTTCTGTCATGAAGATCCTACCCAGCAGAGATGCATAGAAAAGGGGACGTCTCATCTATTCTGTTCTGTTCTATTCTCTTTAGTCCTGGGCTACTCAGATTTCGTATCCCTAGGCCTTTCCCCCCACACTTATCACCTCAGTATCATAGCAACTTCTGCTTGTGGCTCACAGTTCTGGGGTTCTGCCTCTCCCCCTGTCTGCAGCGGGATGGCTGTGCGTGCAGCGGCGTGCTGGTTTGGGTAGGGGGGTTGTTATTTTGAAATGCACCCGCTGCTACGTGACTGTGTTAGGGAAGAGGAGGAGGGTGCATCAGAGAAGCCAATGAATGTGGGAAAGGATTGCCCCAGCTCCGTCACAGATGTGAATTCTTAGGGGGGTATTTGGGGTGCTGAGAGAGAAGAAAAGGCAAATAAGCTGCAGGGAAATAGACAGAGCCAGAGGCGCTGGAATTCAGAGCGTGGGATGGGGGCGGCTGCAGCCTGGACGTGGTTTCCATCATCTGCAGGCTTCACAGGTGGTTTAATGTCCCTGAGTCCCCCCTCCGCCCACAACAAAAATTGTTCCTGCCCACCCGGCTGCAGCTTGTCACCTGCTCAGCCCTGGGCATCAGGCTGGGCTAAGTAGGCATCAGGCCAGAGGGGATATACTAGGTGAGATTTAAAGGAGAATAAGGCAGTCTCTATCAGCATTTTACCAGGGAAATCCCCTAGGCAGCAGAGGAAGGCAAGGCTTCAGGGCAGAGGCTGGCAAGAGGTTACGGCAGACAGAGGGAGGAAGATCAGTGACATAGAGACCCAGGTCACGGACACGCAACCTGGCAGGCGTTGCACACAGACGGGGGCTGGACGAGTTGGTGGGTGGCCCTCTACAGAACACATGAGGCTGACCAGCCCTGGGAGCAGCAGGGACAGGGCCAGAGACAGGCAGAGACCGAGGGGCAGGGCGAGATGATGGGTACCGCAGAGCTGGCTCCAGCTGGCTGGGATTCTTCCTTTCTGCCCCGTCCGGGACTCCTGTGGCCCCATCCAGTGTCCTTACCCAGCCCGGCCCAGCCCCTGGGAAAGGGGACCAGCCAAAGTGCCTGGGACCAAACACGCTTAATCTGCTCTGGCTGCCCCCTGCATCTCGCTGCTGCACGGCCCACAGCTTCCCCACCGCTTCCTGCAGCCTCCTGGCTCTGCCTGGCCCTTAAATCCCCTCCGGGCCCCTCGGGACCAGCCCTGAATCCCACCGGGCTCCAGGCAGAGACCTCGGCTGAGTTGCCAATTAATGGAGACTTGGTCTTGTTTTGGAGATGCTCAGAGACCCCTTGGGAAAGGCCACCAGAGGGGAAAATAAGGGCAACGCCATTGAGTAGGAAGGGCCTGATCTCCAGCTCCACCGGGGTCTGGATTCTGCTCTCAGTCCCCTGGCCTGACTCCTGGCAGCTCCATTGAATTCACTGGGACCGTTTCCGCTCTCGGCCCAGCAGCTCATTGTCCAGGCTGTATCCTGCTCTGGCACATCACGTGGAGAAGCTCAGGGCCCAGAAGAGGCTTTAAAATACCCAGCTGCTGTCCAAGCCCACTGATACTGGCTGGTTCTCCATCCCCATCCAACTACGAAAACCCTTTGGAGAGCCCAGGAAGATGTGTTTGGGAATTGCTTCCAGTGGGCTGCCCTCAACTCCTTTTACCCTTCCGCTGGAGAGGGCTTTAAAACCCCTGTGAATTCCTTACTAGCTGAGCTTCCAGTCTGACAACCAGGCACACAGAAGTTCCTCCCTTCTTACATGCAGGGTTTAGCATATGGTTGTGACAAGGTGATTTTTGTAAACTAAGGAGAGAACCGTACATGATCAAGCATGACTTGGTCGCGCCGTGTTAGAGCCACTAAAAAAGACAGGTCAAAAAAGCAGAGATTTGCTTTGCAAGGATTCACTTTGGAGAGGTACATGGTGAGGGGGTGATGTGTCCTCAGCAGAGAAGTCAGTCCAGCCCCAAAATAAAGATAATAACCCGATTCCCTCTGACTAAACATTCCCTGTTCTACTCACACCTCTGTTGTTCCAAGGTTTACTGCTTCCCTAGGCCTGGATGTCCCTGGATCCTCCATGCCCTGCTCCCTGGCTTCACTCTTGTCTGTCCCGCTCTGGTCACACAAACACCAGCGAAGGAGTGTCACAGCTTCCCATTCAGAGCCTCAAACTCTGTTTTCATTGACTCTCTGGGCTTCCTACCAACACTTCCTCCTTCCCCAGCATTCCTGGGGATTCTCCAGCCTGTGGCTTCAGTCCTTGCAGGCAATATAGCTAAATGAAGGGCCGGGATGTCCAGAAACGGGTAGCGCCCCTCCCATTCATCAGGCACATGCACTACTGGTGGGGTGGAATGTTCATGCTCCTCTGAGCTCGCCTGCCCTGGGACACCCACCAGAGAATTCCCCCCATGGTGTGAGAGGAGGGAGCCAGGCCAGAGATTGGCCTGGAGGCCTCTGAAGTCAACAGAACTTTCTCCTGGGTTCGTGCGCCCTGCTGTTCCCTGGCCTTGCTTGGGATCTGTGTGCACACAGGGACGTGGTCCTGTGGTGGTGGGAGGGCAGAGCGTCCCTGATGTGCAGAGGGAGGGCACCCCCAGTCCTGTGCACCGTGGCACCGCACCTTTGGAAGTCCCCTAGAGACTCCAAGAAGAGCCTTGAATTATTTTTCACAGGACAGCAGCCTCCCACCACCTCCAGCCAGCTCCTGGCACAGTCGTTTGGGTGGTTGCTCAGATGCAGAGCGAGACAGACCCAGCCTGTCAGAGATCACTGTCCCAGTAACCCACATGCAGGAAGGGGCATCATCCCCATCCCCCCTCTTCTCACTGCCTGACTGTCGCTCTGTGTCTTGCTGGGCCGCAGGCGTCTCCTCTGCATGGCTGGGGAGTCCTGTCATGGAGACAAAGCCACAGACACGGCACGGGGGAGGAGAGGAGGGACTGGCCAACATTAGAGTTTTCCAGCCATGATCCCATCCAGCCATTTGCTGCTGTCCCGTCACTGCAGCTCTAATAAGTCTCAAAGTGATTCCTCTAGTCGCTGTTAATTCCCGCCCTTCCCCTTGTGGCACCGTACCTGGGAGCCGGGATGCAGGGCCAGAAAACAGACGTGATAATTAACCTCTGTAGAGGTGCAATGCCCAGCCCAGACACAGCACCCCATGGGGTGCGAGGGCCATGGGGATTAATTAAAATGTTGATTTTGCTGACGAGTCCCCAGGCTGGGCTGTGTCACTGCACTGGGCACCAGGCTGAGGAGTGACTCTGGGTTTGCATCAGCTGAGCTCTGCGCGCCGTGCTGGTGCCTGTCAGAGCCAGAGGAGCATTGGGCGCGTGTCTCTATCAGTGATGTGGGTAACGGCATCGGTTGGGGATCTCAAACTTTCTGGCCCCTGGCCCGTCCTGTTCAATGCAAACATTCCCCAGCCTCTAATAAAGACTGTCCTGCCGTGTGCTTTTAGGCTCTGCTGGCGGGACCCACACTCCTCCCTTGCTAGGTTTCAGACCAGGCGCTCTGCCTGCTCGCTCTGCAAGAGTCCTCCCTTGGGGGGTCAGCCCAGACCACCAGCCTCCCTCAGCCCGCCTGGGGAAGCTCTGGGCCAAAGCCACCTGCTCCCTGTACACACATATCATAGCCTGGGTACGCTGTGGCTCCCCGCTATGTACTGGCAGCCAGCTGCATCCACGGAGCTGTGTGTCAATAGCTGCCAATTGGCTTAGCAGATGGAGATGCAGATGTAGGTGCAAATTTTGCATCCATGGAGGGCTTCCAGCATCACCCCCTGCTACTGTCCAGCCTTCCATTCCCAGCAAGAGCCAAGCTCCAGCTTCGTCACTCCCCCCACCCTTTCTTGTTGCTAGCAGCCAAGGGCATGCTGGGAAATGTAGTCCTTTCCCTGTGCCAGGGCTACTAGCCTGGCCAGGACCAAGGAACTGCAGCTCCCAGGGTCCCTTGAGCTCTTAGCACCCATGCTGGAGCTAGGCACTAGTCTGCCCAGACAGCTGTAGCCCAGCAAGCTAGAAGGAGGGGAGGTAGGCTCTTAGCTGGGACACAGCACCACAGATCCATTGGCCCTGTGGTAAATCCGCTTTTGTGGACCACCTGCTAAGTGGGAGTCAACAGTGCGACGCTGGTGTGAACAAAGTCAATGTGATTCTGGGCTGCATGACCAGGAGCGTAGTGAGCAAGACACGGGAAGATATTCTTCTGCTCTACTCTGCACTGATTAGGCCTCAGTTGGAGCCAGTTCTGTTCACCATAGTTCAGGGAATATGTGGAGAAATTGGAGATGGGCCACAGTAAAGATGTTGAGGACTAGTCAGTTTCCCCCACCCTTGCTGCCTCTCTCAGATAGGGGCGGCAAAGTGTGGGGGGGAAGGGGTACTTCAAAGTGGCTGAGCTGGGGTTCATCTGTGCAGTGCTGCCCCTTTAAAACGTGGAAGCATCATGGAGCCCAGGTTTCAGCTGGGGACTCCTAGGTTCCGAGTGTATTTCCCAAGAACCCGGGGTCAGCTGGGGACTCCCCAGCTGATCCTAGGCTCCACTGTGCTGCACCTTTGAAATGCAGAGTCGGCATTTCAAAGGGGTAGCACCACACAGCTGATCCGGGACTCCCCCAGAATCCAAGGTCAGCTGGGAAGTTCTGCGCAGAATGTGGGGTCAGCTGGGGAGTCCTCAGCTGACCTTGGGCTCCAGCCAGAATGTAGTTCAGCATGGAGCCCAGAGTCAGCAGGGGACTCTGAGTCCCCAACGGTCTGTCTACACTGCCACCCTAGTTCGAACTAGGGTGACTAATGTAGGCATTCGAACTTGCAAATGAAGCCCAGGATTTAAATATTCCAGGCTTTATTTGCATGTTCCCGGGCATCGCCATTTTTAAATGCCCCGTAGTTCAAACTACCTGCCCATAGCTACACGCAGCACGGATTAGGTAGTTCGAATTGAAGATCCTAATTCGAACTACCATTACTCCTCATTGCAGTAGTTCGAACTAGGGCGGCAGTGTAGATATACCCCTACTGACCCCGGACTTCTTTGTAATGCACAAGAGCCCTTGATGGGGACTCTTGTACATTACAAAGCAGGCACCCACGTGCAGCCCAGAGTCAGTGGGACTTCCCACTGAGCCTGGGCTGTACGCGGAGTTCCAGAAGGAATGTGGAAGTTCCTATCGACTAGTCAAGTAATCAATGGAAATTCCAACTACTTGACTAGTCAATTAACCGCAATTTAACATCCTTAGTCTGGAGAAAAGCAACAAGAATGATGAAAGGTCTAGAAGAAATGAGCTATGAAGAGGCCTTAAAGGACTGGGTTTGTTTATTGTGGAAAGGAGAAGACTCGGGGAGACACGAGCAGTTTTCAAGTACCTAAAAGGGTGTTACAAGGAGGGAGAAAAATTGTTCATGTCCTCTTATGACAGGACAAGAAGCAATGGGCTTTAGTTGCACTGAGGGAGGTTTAGGTTGGGGATCAGGAAAAGCTTCCTACCTGTCAGGGTGGTTAAGCACTGGAATAAATTGCTCAGGGAGATTGTGGAATCTCTATCCCTGGAGATATGGAAGAGCAGGTTGGACAGACACCTGTCAGGGGTGGTCTAAACCGGAGAGGGCAATAATTTTTGTGTGGGGGTCACTTCAGATATTTTGTAACTGCCCCTGGGCCACTCTGGTAGCGGCAGGGCCTCAGGCCAAAGGGGTAGGGCAAGAACACTGATTGCTGTATGGGTGGGAGAAGCACATGAAGTCTTTGACTCCATCCGCAGAGAGAGCCACCAGCTCTTCTGAACAGCTAGCAGTTCCCTCTCGGATCCCACACCTCTGGTGGTGGGAGGAGATTTTCTGTGCTCCCCCCGCTCTCAGGTCAATCAGGGGCTGTGTGGACAGGGAATAGCTGCTATTTCGAAATAGGGGGCCTCCAGCCCTTCCCAGGGTGCCCCGCTGACCACTCTGTCCACACTCAGCTGGACATGCTCTGTCCACACCAGAGCCCTTAAAGCTGCAGCCTGTGCAGAGAGGATTTGTGGTTCACAAGAGCCCTGAGCCACCCTGCAGCTGCCTTGCCTTGCTTCCCCCCCCCCCCCCCCCGAGCCGTGGGCCTCCATTGAGCCCGGGGAGCAGTCAGGCAGCTCCCAGGAGCCTGGCAGGGGTCAGAAAAGACATGCACCTTCCTGGTCTGGTGCGGAGATCCTGGTCCTTATTGAGGTTTGGGGGGATGAGACCAACCTCCAGGATCTCTGCACCAGACGCAGGAATGTGAATGTCTATTGCCAGATAGCTGAGAGCCTGGCCAACAAGGGACACATCTCACTCAGAAGAAGGTCAAAGGGCTCCACCAGGCTTATGCCAGGGCCAGGGAGGGCAACTCCCGATCTGGGGCAGATCCCCAAAGCTGCCCTTATTTTAAGGAGCTGGACTGCATCTTGGGGGTGGGACAGTCTTTTCTCCAGCCCCCATGGGGTTGTAGTACTCCGGGATTCCTGTGCCAGATGGGGTCAGGGACTCTGGTAGACTCCAGCCTTGAGATGCCCATTATTGTCCTCACCGGTGGGAAGGGGGGAGGAGGAGATGGCTGAAGGGAGAAAGAGTCTCAAAAGCCATCAAAAGGCCATGCCGATTGGTTCGTAGGTGGGTTTCCGAACAGACTCGCATGCCGCTCCTGCAGCCACACGTCAGCCTGCAGTTCTCTGGCCTCCTCCTAGTTTCCGCAGAGCCGCCTTCACCTCCTTGTTGCGCAGAGTGTAGACAGCTGGGTTCAGCATGGGTGTCACCAGGTTGCCAAAGATGTCCACAGGGGTCACCAGCACTTCACTCATCCCTGGCTGAGTGTAGATCAGGGCGCAAGGCCCAAAGAACATGGTCACCACCACCAGATGGGAGGCGCAAGTGGAGGCTGCTTTGCGCCGCCCTTCACCCGCGTTCATCTTCAGGATGGAGTAGGCGATTCTGATGTAGGAGGCGAGGATGAGAACGAATAAAGTCATGGGCACCATGCCACTATTGGTGAAGCTCACTGTCTCCAAGATGTACGTGTCTGCACAGGCCAGCTTGGCCACAGGGAAGATGTCACAGAAGAAATAGTCTATGACGTTGGACCCACAGTAAGGCAGCGTGAAGGTCAGGCTGGTGAGGATGGTGGCATGGAAGGAGCTGGCAATCCAGGTGCCAGCAGCCAGGAGGGTGCACACCCTGCGGTTCATGATGAGCAGGTAGCGCAGCGGGTGGCAGATGGCCACGTACCGGTCATAGGCCATGACCGTACAAAGCAGGCACTCGGTGCTGGCTAAGAAGTGGTAGAAGAAGAGCTGAGCCATGCACCCGCCCAGCGAGATGGTTTTACTGTTAGCCCAGAGGATGGCCAGCAATTTGGGGATGCTGGCGGAAGAGATGCCAGAGTCCAGCACAGCCAGGTTGCAGAGGAAGAAGTACATGGGGGTGTGCAGGCGGGAGTCACCAAGGACGGCGGAGAAGATGAGCAGGTTGCCCAGCAGGGTGCAGAGGTAGAAGGCTAAGAAGGTGAAGAAGAGGATGGTCTGGAGGCCATCGGTGTTGGGGATCCCTCGGAGGATGAAATGAGTCACCATCGTGTGGTTGGTCAGCTCCATTTGGGACTCATTCCTGGGGTAGGGCAGAGAAATGAAGCCAGTGAGTTACTGAAAGCACCCAACACCCTACAGCTGCGATGTTCACCCTCCCCGCCACTGCCCCCAGGACTCCCTTCCCTCAGGAGCGGGAAATATTTCTGTCCTTGTTGTGCCAGATGGGGTCAGGGACTCACAGCAGTGGTGCTGAATTTGGAGTGAAAATTTCAGCATTGAAGATCTTACTTTCCAGAGATGGAGGAGGAACATCTAGTTTAGTTTCTTCTTCTCTTCTCTCTTGCCCTATTACAATAATTTCAGTGACACTCTGACTAGGGTTTTCTAGCCTTATCTCTGTGGGACCTGAAAGCCTCCCTTCCTGGCCAAATTTTCTCATATGTGGCATGCCTGTCTCCCCTAATTTGGTGAGGGGGTGGGAGGAACAGGGGATGATTGTGCTGGGCAGGGCATTGTGTCACCGGGGATGGGTTGCTAGGGATGCCTGGCCTGCGACGTGTTGCCTGGTTTCCATCAGCCCCAAGATTACAATTTAGTGCAATGGTTCTTAACCCCTCCACTGCAGAAATTATTCCAGCCCCCTGGCCACAGTCTCCCACCTTGTACATCCGCAGGCCAGGCTGTGTAGATGCCACGCCGGAGTGGGCGTGCGGGTGAGATGGGAAGCGCACTGGTGGAGTGTCTCAGTGGGGTTGCTGTTTTACTTTGTATCTGTAAAAGGAGTCAGGAGGCCTGTGCACCTTGGGGACTCACAGATATATTGGGGCAGCAGCTTGTGTGGGAGAAACCCGCCCATCAGATGCACAGCAGTGGAGGTAGCAGCAGCAAGACTCTGTAACAGGAAGAAGTGGCTTGTGTTAATGACGCTAATCGAGTCAGGGTGGCAGCGGCTCATGCGGAGAAACTGGTGGGGAGCTGAGACTGTCCAGAGGGGGAAATTGCCTTGTAGCGTGTGAGCCAGCTGAGACCCGTGTCACTCCCACACTGAGCGGGTTCAGTTTGCAAGTGAAACAATCAAGTGTCCTTTGCCATTTTCCGAGAGACATTCCCCAGGCAAGACAGGCAGGGCACAGACTGGCGGAGGTGGGGTGCGTTATGGTGGATGGGAAGGGGCAGGGCTGCAGGGAGAGGCTGGCGGGGGGGTTATGGTGGATGGGGAGGGGCAGGGATGCAGAGAAGAGGCTGGCGGGGGGGTTATGGTGGATGAGG